TGGGGATGACCTGCAGCCCGTACATGCCCTCGACAGGAATCAAATCCCTGACCCGTGGGGTGCTCTACCATGAGCCACCACCAGGCAGGGCTGTTAGAACTATATGATCTCCTGAGAATTCAATAAACAGAGAACCAAACATCTTCACAGATGTTCTAAGGAGTTGGTACTGAGAGATTGAAAAAAAGAAAAAGTGATGCCTGGCTGGCGTGGCTCAGTGGTTGAGCGTTGACCTATGAACCAGGAGGTCACAGTTTGATTCCTGGTCAGGGCACATGTTTGGATTGTGGGCTCGATCCCCAGTGTGGGGCATGCAGGAAGCAGCCGATCCATGATTCTCTCTCATCATTAATGTTTCTCTCTCTCCCTTTCCTTTCCTCTGAAATCAATAAAAGTGTATTTTGGAAAAAAAAAAGAGAGAGTTCCATTCTAGTTAGATTATGATGTCAGCAAATAAACTTAGCTCTAAAAGCCCCTCCTCTTTTTTTGGGGGGGGCCCATTTTTGTAGGGCTAAGCCACAGGAAGAATAACCTTTCAAAAAATTGTTAAATCCTAGTGTCCTGGGTTCTGGCTTGGATAGAAACTATGGTATGATATACCCTCATTTTGTGGCTAGGTCTCCCACGGTAAATGTCGATTCACAGCATCATATTCCTCATCAAAATCATTAAGAAAATGTGATAGCAGTTCAGACAAGACAAGCTGACGGGCTCATTTGGACACCTGAGGGATGTAGGATCATATTTCCAGAAGTAGTTCAAGCTCACAGAAAAAAACAAAAACCACACCAAAACCAAACCCGGGAGCTTCTGTGCATACGTGCACAGCCCACGGCACAGGCAGCAGGGCGGCGGAGGCCTGGGAGGGGCCGCTGTGGGGTGGACGGCAGTCCATGGGGAAAAATGGGGCATCTGGAATACTTTCAACAATAAAGAGAAATTAAGAAAAAAGGATCAGTTTCAGATTTGATAACTGAACTATTGATAAAGCAGTAGACAAAGTCCTCTTTTGAATACTTTCTATTTTAAGTTAAAAAAAATAAATCTCACCGTTTGATACTTTAGCCGGCGTCTCTGGGGCACAGTCCTTGGTCTCACTGAAAGCAAAGGAAAAGGAGCATTTCATGGTCTGCGTATCGACCGGGGGAGGAATTACTCAGCAAAAGGACAGCTGTCAGCCGTTCTTCCCGTGGAAGCGAACGCGACGTACCAGGTCCCTGCGTGTCCAAAGGGGCGGCTGTGATTCCTCAATGCGCTCCCCCTACTTCACAAATGTTGGTGAAGTCCACCCCACACACCGTGTAACCCTGAACCCGTTCACATTGCCGGGCAGCCGTCACCACCCTCCTCTCCGGACATTTCACCTTCCCCAGCCGGTACCCGCACCCTTCAGCCACTAACACCCACTGTCCTCTCGCCGCACCCCCGGAGCCGCTCTTCTCCTTCCAGTTTGACCACGAAGTATCTCACGGACGTGGAGTCATGTGTCTGTCCTCTCGTGACAGACTTAGCCGTGTCTTCAGGTCACACGTGCTGTAGCGTGCCCCGACCTCCTCCCTGTTACAGGCTGAGTCCGAGCCTCGTGCCTTGTGCACCACGTTTTCTCTCCACCGTCCCCCAGTGTGTGGCTCCCAGACCTGGATGGTGCACCACGCTGCTGGGCACGAACCTCTGGGTGCCCATTTTCAGTCCTGTGGGTGCACACCCAGTCGTGGGCTTGCTGGATCGTACGGTAGCTCCACATTTAGCTTTTTTTTGAGAAACTGTCGTACTGTTTTTCACAGCGACTGTACCATTTTAAATTCCCAACAGCAACGTACAAGGGCCTATTTATTGTGCTTCTCTCCCCCCCCCACCTTCCTGATCGACTTAAATGTTTCCTTCCCAAGAGTTGTTATCGTGTCCCCCCACGCAGGACCTTAGGAGAGCTAGTGTGTCCCTCACACAGGAGTTAGGAGTGCTAGTGTGTCCCTCACGCAGGACCATAGGAGTTCTAGTGTGTCCCTCACGCAGGACCATAGGAGAGCTAGTGTGTCTCTCATGCAGGACCTTAGGAGTGCTAGTGTGTCCCTCACGCAGGACCTTAGGAGTGCTAGTGTGTCCCTCACGCAGGACCTTAGGAGTGCTAGTGTGTCCCTCACACAGGACCTTAGGAGTGCTAGTGTGTCCCTCACACAGGACCTTAGGAGTGCTAGTGTGTCCCTCACACAGGACCTTAGGAGTGCTAGTGTGTCCC